TTGCTCTTAAAATTAATAATTAAATTTAGTTTTCACACTCTAAAAACCCAATTTTATTGAAAATAATGAAAATTTTATCCGACTAGCTAATCCTTAACTTAATAGATATTTTTTAATCCACTATTAATGCAACATAGAATTGTTTTCAATAAAAAGTTATTCCTCACAAGAATTGTACATAGAATTTTTTAATAAAAAAGTTAAACCTCTAAGAAATGTTAATATTTACTGCCTAAGCAATATTTTTGTGGTAAATAAATATTTTTCTTAACTATTTACTACTATTTATTTAAAAGAATTGCCTATTAAATTTTGCATTGAATACTCAACCTAATATATTTTGAAAAAATTTGAACCATTTGTGGGCTGAGGTTCTTGTTCGTTCACCATTAATACTAATTTGCACACTTTTGTTATAACTAGATATAATTAAAGCAAACTTCTTCTGAAAATTAAAAATAAAAAACACAGTAACATTAAAATTAGTTTTTAGCGGATTGTGTATGGCAGCTCACATTTATTGCTCATTGCTGACTGTTGGGCCTCGATCTTGTAGTTTGAGCTGGCAACAAAACCTAATCGAAGCCCAAAGATAATAAATAAGTGAGTAAGTTTCATATCAGATTATCTTTGGCTACAGTTGCTGCTGTTGCAAGTATACTGTTAAATACAAGTAAATCGTTTTCAACATCAGTCCCTCTCTCTTATAGTAAGACGAAAAGAATGCTCACTTTCAATTGTTCGCTCAATTTAATGGTTATTGAGCAATGATCGGAAGATAAATCAGCAGAGGTTTCAGCAAATACTAATCCCCTATCTACAGCAAAGTCAGTCAGGTCTGATAATTTCCTAGAGTTCGTAGGGCAGTAAGTTAGTTGTCTTGGGGAGATAAAATCGTATCTATTTTTGGTAGTATAACTGACGATCTTTCGGGTTAATTAGCCTCGATCCCTAATGGGTTCGCTTTGTAATCACCTCCAGCTAGGAACCTATCTGCTAGAGTCATAAAAAAGTCACTAAATTGCTTTTCTGTTATACGAAACGTGGCGGACAGTAAATTGCAGCCAATGTAAGGTCGATCCCCCAAATTTTAAGGGTGATAGAAGTTGACTGCAACCCATTTGCACCATTAGCATTCACTAAGCAAAGCCTGATCTCACTCATTTTGTGCATTTGGTTTTGCGCCTTTATTAGGTCTTGAATCATACTTTACATGGTTGACATAAATTTTGTCATACACTTGGTAAGATTAAGAATCCTGGCCTCAACTCCAGTACTGGAAGGAGTGACTGGTGGAGCCTCTTCATTAGCTTTAATTTCGTTGGCATAAGTCATTTGACCAGAATTTGACTTAGGTACTTTGGAAGTGGCCGGAATGGAAGTAGGATATAAGAGCTGGTTCCGTCTGGCTTCAATACCTTGAGTGAGTTTAGATTTTAAGTCTCTGTAAACCGAACAACCTCTGTAATTGGCGGTATTATTGACACCGCAGTAACTACACTTTTTTGTGCAACATCCGTTTTATTCAAGGGGCACTTGGTAGAATAGCACGCAGAGTATTTTGACCACCGTGATTCGTCTGTGTAAAAGGTATTCTATTTTGAACTTGGCAATACAAGCACTTTCAACATAGGCTGCGGCACTTTATTCCTGTTAAATATATTTAATGACCGCCCTAATCTCATTTGCGCTTCTAGAGGTTTTTTAATATTACCTGAGTCAACTGTGGCTTCAATTTCCATAATTACAACAATCAGGCCTTTCGCAATCTTCAACTAGTAAGAGTAATAATTCTTATTGTTTGCCGAAAGAAACAGAACGATTTCACGAAAGTCTTTTTCGATGTGTACTTGTATCTTTGTCTTGTTTGTGTTCCGTTTTTTAAGAGGTACAATCTGGAAATTGTTGGTAGCTATTATCTTGGCTATGTTCGTTTTTGGGAGGACTAGATTTCCTTTTTTTATTTATCACATTAATGTATCGAACTATGCCTGTCTGCAATGCTGACCCTTTATTCTTTTTGGCTGTCGCTCTCTCTGTTGTTGCTAAGGTCTGCGCTGGCGTCTTTAAAGCTGAATTGCTTGCTTTTGCACTACTGTTAGGTGGTGGTGAGACAGGCATTTCTCTCTGCCGTCGCGACTGAAAACCGCCGCTCTTTCTTATTTGAGCGTTGATCACTCATTACGTTCCCGGTTCACTTTTCACTTCTCGTTTTTGATTCTCTGTTTATTTAGAGATGATTTTGTTTTTTATTACACATTTTGCTTATTTACAAAATATATACAGTCACTACAACCGATTTATAAATTTACACGATTAAATGCTTTAGTTTTTTATTTAGCTTTACATGAAGATACGGAGGAGATTAAAAAACACGTCCTTACACTATGAACACTGTTTGCTACCTCACCTTGACAAAAAAAAAATCTTTTAAAAGACCATCACTCCAGCAGTATTCCCAAAAAGGTACTTTGGGGAATATTTTTGCGGTATCAACAACAACAACCTTTCTCCCAATGTTTCATCTATCCCACTTTTCACTCAACATCCCTTTCAAAAAACAACTGTTTTGTTACCACTCCTCAAATCCCTTCGATCAGTCTGTGGACATATCAACCAGCATCTTTCCCACAAATCACCTAAGTAAATTATAATAACAACATTATATTCCATTTGTATAACACAGTGGAATATAAACGATTAGAATAAATATTACGTTCTGTTCATTACATTTTTGAAACTCTAATAAAGAAACGTAATCCCTCTCTCATTTCACCCCCACTCCGTCAATTCTTCCCTAGCCATAGAAACTCAATCTCCATACAAAATCGCGATTGTATGTGAATCTCCTTTCATTTAGCTTTGATCCATTTGCATTAATGAGGCTAACTGTTATAGTGTCTCCCACTATTCACTTGACGTTATTTTGAACATACACACATACAATTGTTTAATTTTTTGTGTTTCTCATTAGGAGAAAGAAAAGTGCTAACCTCATATTAGCTTTAAGAGTCTAAACATTGAAGACGCCATTGCATCATCCTTAACGACGGTTCTCATACACTCTTTCCCAATCATTAAATTCTCACCCACAAAGACCTGACTTCTGTTTTGCATCCCACTCCAGCAAACCTTCTGGTAATGAGTTGCTCAATTTATTTCTTCTCTATCCCCGCTAATGTAAGCCAAGAATTTTCACGCATACAAAATGCCCCTATATCTGCAATCAATTGCTGTTGCGGCAGCAAATAAACGTTCGAAAGAATATCAACATAAACGAGTATTACAAACAAGCGGTTTATTGAGTTTTTACATTCAAATCAACAGCACAGTTTTAATATCTAAAATCAAATTATTTTAAATAAAGAACTATTTTAACAATTCAAAAGACTTACTCTTCGTTTTTCTTTCTTCAAACGTTCTGTACAAACTAAATTTAAAATGAAGTATATGAATGCATATATGAACGCTTCGTTAAAATTTGAAACTTTTAACGAAATAAATTAAAGTGATACCATATTTAAAAAATTCAGTAATGTTTTAAAGTAAATGAAGGTTAAGAACATAAATGTAAAATTGAATAAATGAAAATCTTAAGTTTAATCAGCAACAATTGCATACCAAAAACCAGCGAAATCGACACCGCGTTGATGGAATATTGAACTCAGTGCCCTTCGGCAAAAATAGCATGAATGGGACGAATTTAAGCGTAACTGTTTAATCACCAAATTAATATATACTGGCACTTAGCAAACGCAGAGCGATTATCGGCCGAACGTCTCTTCTGATTTGTGATGTTATTCCGACAAATAAAGGACCTACTGTTAATCTAAGATTAATGAGCAGCACTTTATTTCATGTTAGAAATTCTTTCGGAAGGCTTGGCATCCCGTACTGAGGAACCACCACAATTAGAAAAATTAACTAACTAAGTTTGTCGAACTAAGACTCGAATCCTGGCCTTCAGAATGCCAGTAAGCAATGCTAGCCACTCGGCTATTGCATCCACCAAGGTCTGTTTAAAAAAGTTCACCAGGAAGGGTGGAGGGGAGCAACCCTTGGGCGAAATGCGGTAACAAAGGTATATTGAATTTATGGAGAAGGGTAACCTGCTGAATTTTAGTGAAAATAAAACACCCAGAGATGGTGAACCCGAAAATCCAATCGACGACGATGAAGAAGACGTGCCCTTACCTGCCCACGAAGAAGTACGAGTAACACTCACCCACTTAAAAAACAACCAAGCAGATGAAGCTGAGAGTGGGAAAAAATCCTCGTTCTTCAAATGAGCCGGCTGGAAGCTCCTATTCACAGGTGGATCCAAAGCATCTTACACCTCCATCGCCGCAATCAGAGAAAATTAAGTTCCTATTTTATAGTTGGATCTACATCGATTTTTAAAACCCGTCCAATGCCCAAAACAAAATTGAGGAAGATACATGGCATGCACTGACATTTTTTCATGTATGCGGCATAAGGCATCAGTTGAAACATGGTTGCGGATTCAATCGTTAAAAAAATGATGCACACTCCTACTGTCACCTCACCGTAGTGAAAACCAGGCGATATCTACCGACTGTTCAATCATAAGAGAAATACGGAATTACCTCTCGATTGGGTAAACTACAATAATCATTACTCAATGATTAACCTAAGTGTCATTTAGCCAAATTTTCCGTCAGCCATGTAAGTAAATTACTCCATTCATCAGCAATCGGTCATTAAATCATATCCCTCCTATCGAGCGACAATCGCCAAAATTAATGTCCTTTCTGTGATTCCTCTGTCAGCTTTCATCACTTACTTATGTGCTGTTCCGTTCTGTAAGACTCAAGAACTTTGCCATCAAAGATCGAGTTCAATTATTAATTATACCGAAAGCCCATGTTGCTAGCGTTACGTCCCATAGTTTAGATAAGGTTTTGTTTTGTAAGCTTTGATAAATAAATAATTGTTTATATTCGAATTGAAACAGTTAATCAGAATCGAATACATAGTTATCAGTTATACAACAAATTTTATTTATTCTTATAGTCAATAAAACTCTCGTTGAAAATAACAAAACGATTTATTAAGTTACGGAGTTAGCATATTTAACTGTACTTAATATCTTAACGTTAAATTTATACGAAGCCAAAATTTTTAGATTTAATAGCCATAAGCAATTTGCTCCGTAAAATAGTTTTGCTTGAATATAAAGGTATATACAACCTTGATATACATGTATTAGCTGTTGGTAAATGTGAATCATCCGCTGGTCTAATTGTTACTGAAGGTAGCGGTTGAAATCCATCTTCTGAGGCTGGAAGAGCGGGTGAACCAGTCCAGAAATATACCTAAAACATTAACAGTTAATTTTGGTTATTAGAATCGGGTAAATCGATCAAAAATGTTATATTTACCAAATCTTGGCGCTCCGAAGTATTCATTCTTTCCACAATACTCCAAAACCATCTTTTGAACTTCAGTAATTTATCAGATCCCTCACTGGACTCATCATTGAATGTAGTGTATGATATTAATGTAGATACATTTATGTCTCCAACACCATTTAATAGTAGTCGTAAGTCCTCAGAAGTTAAGCTGTTCATACAACTGTCTGGGAGGACATCAAAAACTCCATCTCTTATTGCCTGTAAGAACAAGATTTTTTTTTGTTACTTTAAGACAAAAAACGCTTAATAGGAAAATCACAAATAAAAATTAGAACACCAATAAGAATTTTTTTTTTAATAAAACTGGATTAAATAATTTTTTTTAATTGCGATTGCGGGCATAGAAGGTGCATAAAAAGAGACCTGTTTAAAATTTATTTATTTTATTATTAAAATATTTTTTTCTGTCTTTCGGCAATAAACTAATTATTTTAATAATAAAATATCGGCAGCCCAGCGCAACGGTCATTGATACTGTCCACTGTTATCACTATATAGAGTTTTCTAAACAAGTGGATATACCATCAGCATATGCTTTGCTTCTTTATAGCCACTATTATCAAGGATCAAAAAATTTAATGTTAATTCGAATTTTCGGTCATTATTCTTTCGTTAACAACAAGGAATCCAAGATCAATTTTTGCTTGGTGTTGTGCGAGCAATAATTCCACTGTCACAAAGTTTTTGTTTCTTTACTATTTTATTGAATCGTTGATAACATTAAACTAAATTTAACAAAATTATAATTGATCACATCTTTGGTTAGTAATCGATGCGAAATCAATCCGATCGGATTTCCGTATGTGCACTGCTAGTTATTTTTCTTACTTTATAATATAATTCAGGATTAATAAACACAATCCAATTTTATCAGTAAATTATGTGTGAAAGACAAGTTTTTAAGAATTAAATTCTCCCGCATTATATTATAAGGTCCAAAAGTTTTGCTATTAGAATTTGGGCCCGACTTACAGCTTGCAACTCCAAAACTTTCGCACTTCGCACTTTCTATCGAGCAGTCTAGTTGTCGCTGAATTCAAAAGGCAGTTTTATAGCTTGTGCAAAATTATATAAATTTTTCATTTCATTTTTACATTCATTTTGTGTGAAATAAAACAGTTTTCAGATAGCTAGCATCCCATGTTTGAGATAACCAGCCACTTTGACCTCAGCAGCGAGCGTGAGTAAAACACCAAATAATTTAGAAGTACAGTTAAAAAAAAAAAAAAAAAAAAAAAAAAAAAAAAAAAAACTTGTTTTGGCTTATGTGTGCTAGAGTAGATTTTGTCTTATTTGCAGCGTTTTTTTTAACGTCAACTTTGCAACAAATTGGAATTTCTCTGCATCTGGTAATTTTAAAGCAAAAAAAAAAAAAAACCGAAAGGTACAAAAAATGTTATCTGTGGCCATATGAGCTGTCCAGCAGTGGAGGGCTTGTTTGGATAGACGAAAGGAGTAGTACACTTAATGCAGTCATCGCTGATGACAGAAATTTAATGTTATGTTCGGACGCATTAAGGAGCAGTGACTTTACACATGATATATGTACAGCTAGGAAAAAAAAACAAAATAGATGTGCGGAATACCGCCATTTTTTAAAGGCGACATTTTTGTGTTGGTTGATTCTTCAGCCAATATTCATATTAATATAGACAAAATAACAACTGGCTTGAGGTTGTACAACCAAATCAAAGACCTCAAGATAAATGACCAAATAAATGAAAAAATCACTGCAATTTGAAGAACTTTATATAAAGTTACATTCAAAAATACTAAAGCTGCAAACGCATTTGCAAAAAACTCGCAACTCGGAACTCAAGGCAAAGGACCTTTTATACCCAAAACAGTCATTGAAATTTATGGCGTAGTTAGGCGAATTTCCCTATGCTTTGAAGAAGGAAGCATCAAAAAAGATTCAGTTTCAAGCACTCCTATTTTATCTGCTAAACGGTTCATTAGGAAGGATACTGCCCGTGGCCAGTACCTTCCTACAACCACGTTCAAAATAGGTTTTCAGGGAGATGAAAACCCCAAATACATCATTTGCAATTACCCCGGACACACGCTATTGTCATGCAAAAGTAAAACGAGCAGTTTGAACTGTGGCAAGATGGATTGTAGAGTTTCAAGTTGCACTAAGAATGTATGCATTTTGTGTGGCAAAGAAGGCCACCTAGCTAAAAATAAGGATTTATGCCCACATTGGGAAAAGGAGCTGATAGTTAACAGTATCAAAACACTCTAGAAAGGAAGTCTTAGAACAACACTTCCCCAGGTTCAGTATACTAGAAGTCGACGATGACTATTTCCCCATGTTAAGCACCAATTCTAAGGATACATTGATAAAGACTCCAAAATAAACAGAAACTTTACTAGGAAAATGTATAGTAAAGCTATCAAAAGAGGTGCTACCTAGACGAAAGCCAGTAAACGACAAACAGAGACGTAACGTCCCAAAATCTGATTTTAACGCTGCCATCAACTCCGTGGAATACCAAAAGGTGTCCCAACTGGGCGCATGGTTACACAATTGATAAGAGTAACACAAAGAATAACAATTGAGAGCAAAAAGAATGACATGTTCAACGATCTACTTGTCATTAAAGGATAATTAAACAACATAATAACATCGAAAGACAACACAGAGATCAATGAATCTTCAAACTTTTTTTGATTTTGAGGAGGATCTTACAATATTGCAATCACTATATGCTAACATTGATTCTCTTGAATACTTTACATATATAGCGTTATTCTCACTGTTACCGGTAAAATAAATTTTGTTACTTTTTTTAACATCCGAAATTAAATTTGGTATCCTGGCGGACTGGTTACAATGTTTGAAAAACTTGGACATCACTTTTTTTCGTCCTTTTCAAATTACATTTGCCAGTTGGTATAGTAAAAAAGAAGAATATTCACATCGCAATGGAAGACGGTGCACTTCAAATTAAATAAATTTTGTTAAAATTTACCATTCATAAATATTTGAGCATAATTTTGGACAATATGACTAAGCGGAAAAAAAGCTGAATGAAAAGGATTACTTCCAAATTTAAAGGGTCATTTGTTTCTCGCAAACTTCTTAGCATACTCCTTTTTACAATTTTTTCTCCATTTTCCATGAATCCCAGGTCTAAATTATGCCTCCCCCTTTTGGTTTTTATTTTTTCTCAAACTTACAACACAAAATCAAACAGCAGTTATTTTTGTTACCTCTTCGCTGGTATCAAAATTTACAGGGTGACAGCGAACTCGGAATACGAAATAGCAAATAAATTTACTGAATGGTGAACTTTAATACTAAAGTAAACTTTGTTACGTCGTCATAACATGATTTTGATATCACATGCTTAGCGAATTTTTACTTTCTTTTATAACATACACAACTGAGCATATAAAACTCATAGATACCAGATTAAAAATAGAAATTTTAAAAAACCACAAAAGTTTGCAAGAAATTTTAAGAAGAAATGACACCAACAAAACTATTCCCTATATAGGGTCGCAGTAGCAAATATCGCAAGGATCTACTCGCTTTTGTCCTTGTCTCATCCATCGCACTTCTTCCACGTCGATTATGTCAGCCTTTATTCCCACGAGGACATCAACCAGCTGGTGAGCGCCACCTTCCCAATTAAGGGACCGACCGGACATTCCAGGTGCATGCCCTCATGGTTTCTACGTGGCGGGTCCCAAACCCAGCGCCCAACCTCGCTAGGCGAGTATGTTTCAAACCTTTTACACATTTATATAGCGAAACGCTTGCTTCAGGACCGACGCCCGCTTACAGTCGCACCTCTGGTGAACAAATGCTGCAACTAAATTTCAGCGGACCCTTAAACCGAATGAGTCGGAGTGGCTTCACTGAAGTTTCCTCTCTCATTAGCCGTGACCCAAGGCTCCACACATACGGATTTGTTACGGCATCTGACGTAACTACACCCATAAAACTAAATTAATTGTTGTTTTAATTTCTAAGTCAATAATTGCCAACACATATAGTTAGTGTTAAGATATAAGTAATTATCTCGCTCTAAAGAAAATAGGAACTTACCTCTAAAGCTTTCTCCTGAGATTTAATCAATCTATATTCTGTGTAGCGCCTTAAATATTCAAAAAGATTCTGGCATGTAACTTGAATTTCGCGCCCACCCGGTATCAATTCGACACTTCCTCCTCCTTCTTCTTTCATGAGATCGATTCTAAATGTATACATTGGAAATAAATATGGTATAAAAGTACGAGCTGTTCTCTTTAGCTTACACAAAAAATAGCTCCATACGTTGTATTATCGCATCGCCATCTTGGGACTGGGCATTTTGTATAAGTTGTCGGAACGACTCGTATATTGTTGGATCGAAAAATGCCAAATCGTAAAATTTAATTTTTCTTCCAAGTATGAATTTCAAAACATGACGTTGCAAGAAAAGTGGAAGCAACTCATTTTGCAAAAGACATAATCCGATTAATCTGTAAAATAAAAAACAATTTATAATTTTTGTTTTTATATTGCATTATAAGTTTCTGTGCAATGGGTTTCAATTAATTTGGCTCAAATTAAAAATATATAAAATATGTCACTGAGTCACTTAATAACTTTCTTTCCACAGAGGTCTAGCTAATACTAATTTGGACTTGAGGAATAATTTAAAGTCCAAAAATACTTAAAATTAGTTCTAAAAACTCGTTATTTAATAATTCCTTAGTGTAACACCTCGACCGCCATCTACTATAAAATTGATTAAATGAGTTTTCTTCGAATTGATATATGAAATTATATGTAAGTAGGAGGGAATTAAAAAAAGTTGATGACTTTCAATTTTTTTTTATTAAATCTAAAATACGAAATCGTTTACAATTACTCTGTTAGTCTTTGTTTGAAATTTTAGAGTGATCGGCTAAAATGGAGACGAGAAAACGAAAGATAGCTGAGGATAGGTCCATCACCAACTCAAATAGATATTCGCTATTCCCTTCGGGTTTTCGTCGTAATTATAGCCATCACAAATATTCGACGATTGCACCGTCTTTAAAGACTATCTCTAAGTTATTGAGAATATTCAAGATAGGATATTTTACCGTAGAGGACAAGCCCCGAGAAGGTCGGCCAAAATCTTCCATTGATGGCGCCACTGTAGCTTTGGCGAAGTCTATAAGTGACCATCACCCAGGATTGACACAAGCAATAATTAGTAATGAATTGGGATGTTCCGCGAATATTAAATGGTCATTTGGGACACATAAAAAAATCTGCTCGATCACGAATTTTAAATGAGGTTTCGAGTGCATTTCGCTCAGTTTTTCCTAAACAAATTCGACAAAAGACAGTCTGGCAACTTAAATATAGTCGTTATTTGTGACAAATCTTGATTTTATAACCAAACAGGAACTATGGTATGGGGCCCATCCGTAAAATATAAGCAACAATAATCAATAGCAAGAGTAATGTCACCTGATCTAAATTCGTAGCCGCTATTCCACTGGAAAAGGGTCAGACGGTAAATGCAAAATGGCACACCGAAGAAGTGCTTATCAAAAGTTTTTAAAAATTTGTTGGAATGAAAGTGGAATTACGGCGCTACACTGCTGCATTGTTGAAATAACGAGTAATTTCATTGCCATCTCTGGGATCGAAGAAATACATCCAGTACCATATTCCCCGGATATATCACATTGTGATTTATAGTTATTTCCAAAAATTAAAAGGAAATATCTTTAATAGCAACAAGGACATAATTAATGCGGTTAATGCTGAGCTTGATAAGCTTAAAAAGCAAGATTTGAAAGACTGTTTTCAGAACTGGATCTATAGACTTAAGAAATGCATTGAAATCAATGGCGATTATGTAGAGAAAATAAAAAGGGACAAAAATTACTAATAAATACCAAAAATATTTTTTTTTTCAATTTTTTCTGGTCAACCTACAGAACTTTTGTTAAGTCCTTCGTATACGTTGATCGAGTGATTTTAAAATTGAAGGATGACGTAGTCGTCGTCGAATCTACAAAGCTGTTATCGATATGTACATACAGTATGTCAACTCTTTGATTACATAACATTTTCAAACACTATATTTTGTTTTTTCTTTGTTAAAATAAACTTTTGAATAAAAACGATAAATTCACAAATAGACCTATGAAATGTCAGTTGGTCAATGCAGAATTGTTAAAAATATGCAGTTACTTTTAAAAGAGTTGTTCCAAGACTCGTTGAAGTTTCTTTGGGCGTGGTTGTAAAATATGAAAATCAATAAACCCTTTATGAAAAATACAAGCTTTTCGTTCAGGAAAATTTTAAATTACACATTAAATATTGAGTTAAAATAACTTATGTCAACCAATTGATCAAATGAGCAGTGGAGGTATTTTTAAAAATTCTAAGAAATCAAACATTAGTTAAAAAAATTAGTATTTTTAAATTATTACTTTTAATTGTTTTGTAAATAATATGAAATTGGAGTGACATTACAAATAAAAAAAGTTACAAACAGAAATATTTTAGCCAAGTGTGAGCATAGAGTTGGCATACTGTATATATCTGTTATACGCAATTAGTAGACAGGCTTTTCAAAATAAATTACAGTTACTATTTAAATGTTTGTACTAAACGGTGTCGAATATATTAATCTCAACCGTTATTTTACCGATGTACGATGACATACTGTAGAGACAAAACTGATATGAAAAATTATCCAGAGTAAGAAGACAACCCAAAACAAGCTTCAATAAAAATTCTTATTAGATGTTAAGTAAGAATTTTTTTACTAAATTTTTTTCGAACAATGCTTTTTTGTTTGTTTGTGTGAGTATGTTCGATCTGAAATACTTTACTTGTAGTTTAGATTAAAGAGTAGAGTTCAACGAAAAAAAATTCAGAAATTTCTGTTGAGCTTCTATACAAGAAATCATTGAGCAACTTAGTAAAATTCAAATAGAGTACAAGCCAACTATTCGATTACGTTTAACAGATTCTTGCTTTAGTTCTGGAAGAGTATAATGCATTAATTTCCTTATGAACGGATGCTCTATATAAATATGTGCAGAACGAGCAGTAGTAGACATTGTTTAAAATAGTTGTTCTCGAAAATGTTAATGATAAGCATCGGCATTATTGATGATATCTTAAAAGTTGATCATATTAACCTAATTAGCTCAATTTGCTTTTATAAAACCACTGGCTGGTTCAGGGAAGAGTTGGTAGTTTGGGAGAACTTTAGTCTCAGTGGTATCATAACGCGCCTTCAAACCGTCTAGGTGAATAGCAAGACAACCACTCTATTTACCTATCCAAAAAGTTAGCTACCTTGGATCCAAATTTTTGGTTGTTGTTGTTGTTGTAGCCGAAAAAATATTCGCCAAAGTAGTTTTTCATCGGTACTTAAAATGACAATGACTATGGGGACGCTTTTTAGAGACTTTGACCTCTTTGATATCAAACTTAAATTTGTAAGGCAATGTAATGACCAAAATTTTACAATAAATATAACTAAACAATGTGTGAAGTTTCGTAAAAATTCAGTATGTTATTAGAAAATACTTTATTTGTAATTAAATCTGACAAAACAAAAAAAAATAATTATTGTATAGTGTTATAAACATTATTTTAAGCTTACCTCCCAATATTCCTGAACGCGTTTATACGCTCAAATGAACCATACCCTTGTCTTGGTGTGTAAAATCCTCGTTTGCCAGGGGAATAAAATAAAGGTTCATTATCTTCAATTTGGCACTGCTCAAGTAATACCACTGGTATCATTTTCTTTTGAGTTTGATTCAATGTAGTATTTGCTTCAGATTTTTGTTTATATGATATTATATCAAGTGCTTCGTTAACTTTTTGCCTTAATGAATCCTCTGAAGACAAAATAGAAAGTAATTGTGGAGTTGGTATTTCAAGCAGCATGCCCGTTATTTTTGACGCATTTGTGGTATTTATAGAATATATCTGAAAGATATAATAAAGAAGTGTTATAGAGATTTTATGAATTACAAAGAAAACTAATTCTCAACGCTATACACGAATTTAAGAAATAGAATAAAATTAAGTTATCATTATAACTAGTCCTACATGTTTTTCCACTCATACGTGAAGTATTCGAAGTCTATACAAATTTGAAGAACGCATTTGCGTTATATTTTTAAATTAGAGGTTCACTTGATTTGAATTTCCTAAAAACTTGATGAGCATTCGTCAAATACCTCTCCGGTTATTCCACAGTTAACAAAGCGCTTTTTGGCCATGCTCATAATCAAAAGGATGGAGCGCGTTTTATTTTTTTCCAATAAATGGAGAAACCTACCGTTTATTCTAAGCCGTCATTGTTTTTGTTAAGATTTATTTCTTCTCAAAAATTACTTTTCATTTCATTACAATTGGTGGAACTAACTGATGCGATACATGATTGCCAAAATGGTGCATTTTTAAATCTTCAGAAATGCTTATTTCGAAACGAGATAAACAATTGCCGACTACTTAGTTTTATTTTCGTTTTCGTACACACACAAGTAAACCAGTTTAGTACTTTGTTGTTATAAATTAAAAATGTCATTCCATCTATGATTTTTTAACATGGATTACGTGATCCGCTTTAAATTTGTTTAATCATTATTGCGTATAAAATTAACAAAAAAAAAAAATTAACTTCTATAATTTTAACATACCTTTGGAAAAAGTCTTTCGCCAAGCTGTTGTAAATGAACAGATAGGTGGTCGTTCGGGTTATCCACTGAATTATCTAAAAGTAGCAAAGTTAGCAACGATTTAATGTTGATACATTATTTTTGATGAAGTCTTAATCGACTTTTTTGTCGTAATAACTGAATTTTGTCCATTAGTTATAGATCTGTTGTAAACTAAGTTGTGACGTTTTTGCATATAATTAGATTTATAAAAACGTTAGCTTTCCTTTAGTTCAAATGAAATGGGACAACATACATTACATGTAATACTATCACTTCTATTTAGAAAAAGAAAAAAACACTTCAAGTAAATGGTTTATTTTGCTTTCAAAAACTACGAGTAAATACAGAATTTTTTCTTTACATCACACCGGCATAAGAAACTTTTGTAACAGAAACACTAATTGTAGTGTGGGGCTGCACTCTTTTATCTATAAATTAAATTTTTAAGTTAAATTTCCAATTGCTCGTGCTGAACGAGGCGATTTTATAGAAGGTGAAGTTGTCACATAATATGATTTCTTGTTCTTTCTTCGATTTCAACAATTACACACCAAATACAAAATACAAAAACAAATTAATTATTGTATTAAAACGAAATCTTATATAATTTAAATTATTTTCGTTAAATTGTGGTAAATAGGATTTTTTTATTTTTACTCAAATTTAAAATTATCTAGCTGCAGAAAATGGGGAAAAAGCGAAACAACTACAAGAACCCAATGTTCTAATGTCATAAGTTCCCGCCGAGAATATCTTTGATTTTGATTCAATTCGCGTTAATAAATTAATTGGAAAGTAGTCTGAAGAGGGAGCACAATTGTTTCTAAAATAGTTATAACATAACTTCTACCAGTCAGATTTTTTTAATGTAAAAATTTATGACATATCTTTCGCACATTTACTATTTAGAATGATTACAAAAATAGTATTTGAGATATTTTACTTTTGGTTTATCACCTTGTGCTTTATCTGAAATAGCATGCATAATGCGATATTTCATACAAATAAACTCAAAATAAATAATAAAATATTAGTACCTGTGTTGTTTGAAGTCGGTAAATAAGGTCTGGCATCGTAATTAAGCATTTTTTTTTCACGTGAAGTTCGCCAAAATATTTTATTTCCTGCCGTACGTCTCTGTAACGAAGGGGGCTCACGGTTAGATACGCCTCGATTGCGTAAAATACTTGAAAATGGAGCTCCATATTTACTATTAATATGAGTAGATTCTAAATTTGGCATTTTAGCCGAAGCTAATAAAGCTTCGGCAATTGATGTATAAAAACTGCGTGCAACGCCAGATCCTTCTCCAGGCTCGTCCTTAAACGTAACTTTAACTCTATTAAAAGTCAAAGGAGTTTGAGCTCGTTTTGTTTGACTCCCGAATTGTGCATTCAGCTCTTTAAATGTTTGAATTATTAAGCATTCACGATTCCGCTCCAATTTACATAGAATAAGGTCGCGTTGTTGTCCATTACGTAGTTTTTCCATATGCCTTCTAAAACGGATCTCCTTAACAGGAAATCCACGTAATTCTGGTAAGAGCGACCCGTGTTCCATACCTACGTCATCCATAAATACTCTGCCAAACAAATCTAAAGTTAATTTCCATCGTCCTAGTAGAAAATTCCAAGACGGTGTATTTGATGAAAATTGGTGACAGAAGTTGATTCCACGAGGAGGAAAGCTAATGTTTGTGCGTAAATTCAATCGTACGTTATTTTTTTCACTCTCCGATTTTTTGGCTACTGTACTAGCGCGTACAATAACACTGCGTGCTGGTGATGTTGACAAGGAATTTGAAAACTGGGCATTATCTTCCTCTTCCAAGCGTTGCATTTTATTTGGAATAATAATAACTTCTGGACGACTGGTTATTACTGAATTAAATACATTTTGTTGAGTTTCGGCTCCAGATATGATTTCGTCCGTATCCATTGGTTGTATATTTTCGCCTCTTGGGTTTTTGTCTATTTCAAGATAAGAAAGTATACACATGTATATTAAATTGCATTATATTCATTGTATTTATTATTTCTATTGAAATAGTGTAATTATCTTAGAGCTAGACCTTCGCATCACCGTCCCCCCAACAACCAGAATGCTTGGAAGTAGTACTAATAGTAGTCAAGTAGGCGTTTCAGAATCTGTTTCGTACATATACGGCAGCAATGTGATCTTATAAGCATTTCACATTTAATTTAGATAATAAAAAATATTTGAAAAGGTGCCAATATGTTTTAACTATATTAAACGAAAAGTTTTATTAACATCGGATGCTTATATTTTTGATTAATAAATAACTTGCCCACTATTACTAATTTTTTGTGCGTTATGAAGCTTAGCTTTACATTTATTCAGAAGTTCATAAAAATGAACTTTTAGATAAAAGAAAGCAGCTTATCTGCTTTCATGAAATTGAAAGTAATCATGCTAAGTTAAGTTATTTGCAGCGTAAATAAATATGTATTGCGTGTTGCTGATAATTCATTGATTATACGCACACATTTTTTGGAAACACACCAAAAACATTCTTAGAGGCGTGAGAACTACGCGCAATGTAAGAAAGGAGAGTACACCAGTAGTGCCGAAAATAGTCTTCGGTGCCCTTCTCTAGTACAGACGTTCGAAATTGTTAAATAATTACCTATTCCCCAACTTTCTTCCATCTTTTGTATACTTTGTGGCACTGATTTGTTACTTGAAAATCCCAATTTTGTTGGAGTCCCGTCTATATTATCAACTGCAGGTGTTAGCAACGGCAAATTGGCGAACAATTCTTCCCTCTTTGAATTTGGTTGAAGGAGATGCGGTTTATCAGCGAGAGGAATCGCTACATCCAGCGGTAGGTCAAAACTTTCTGGTGCCAAACAACCAAGACTTAGAGTTGAATCTGATCGAACAAAAAACGAATGTCGTCGAGTTGTTGCTGATAATGGTGTAGCAGTGGCTGTAGAAGAATTACGGTCAAGATACATATCTTCGTTTGCTACATTAGAAAACTCGTCGTCTGTATCATCATTATCATTTACAAATTGGTCAGTTCCTTCATAAAAACTGGAACTATTACGCATGTAATAAATAAATCCATCAAATACATAGGCTATGTGACGAAATGCTGTTATATCCAAGACAGGCAGCGCATCACGATGTTCCGAAGTATGAGCTCTCATCAAAGATAAGCAATATGTAAAAAAATCCCGTCGGCTCGATGACCCTATAAAATAGTTAATTATAAGTGATGATTTTTCATTTGTTGAACTTTAATAACACCTATCATATTGACTCCAGCGGCTGATGAGGTAGATTGGTTAGAAACATTCTGGGTGTTCACATTAAGGGGATGAAGAGGATGAGCTGGATCAGTGTAGTTAGCAAGATAGGTCCCGAATTTTAGCTGAGGTTCTGTCCCATCCATTATAGAGTACATCCAATTCCAAGTTGACTTTAGTCGTTGTTCAACATTTAACTGAAAAGTAAAGTATAACAATATAATATATATAACGTTTGGAAAATTAAAAATATTTGTTGTGAAAACTTTTCACTAATAAAGATATACAGAGCAAAAGTCCGCTCCAGCCAGACGCCTAGTGAACCACATTAACTTGAAAAGGTTTTATAGTTGTTTACTTATTGTGCTAATATCGCTCCATATCTGCTTTTTTCGCAGGGGCATAAACAATTCCTACTATTGAGTCTACGTCGCGTGCCCGGGAAACGGCGGTTTATTGATTCGCGCAAGTCTAATTGGTAAGACGACTTTAGAAGCTGGCCGACGGAAGGGCGAATATAGCAGCCGATGGAACGATGAGCTGTACGGGATATACGACGAAATTGACATAGTTCAGTAAATCAAGAGACATTGGCTACGATGACCAGGTCTTGTGATCCAAATGAATAACAATACTCCAGCTATGAAAGTTTTCGACGCTGCTCCCGGAATACCTCCACACAGTTGAAAAAATCAGCTGCAGAACTTGTACAATTGGCACCAAAAAACGACATTGTTAACTGTTGACCTAAACGGGGTTATGCCTCCGAAGGGGTGTAACTCCGGTGTGTAGAACTGGCTGTGGTAGAATCTGAGACAAAAGCTTCAGAGCGTTAGAAGGCAGCACTTGAGGAAAGATAGAAAAAAATTTTTTAGTAACGTAAGCGGGTAAATTACGCTGCACTGATCTAGGCGCCGTTAAAGAATTTAAACGTCTGCCAAAACAATGTCCTCCGGACTGGGACAGGAAGCCTTCAGATGTCGCCTGAGCATCACTTGTAGTATAACTCGTGGCGGCGGTTTTAGCAACAAGCCGCAACACTCTTCGTAACTCCGTTCGCGGGAGCAGACTTTCTCACCAATGTCCTCAACCTGTCTTTGACCAGCCGAATGATATCTGACATAAAGAAAACGGGCAGTGTGGTCTCGCTAGTCAAGCCGGCTGATAACTCTCCACCGGTAAGATTTTCTTTAACCTCGTATACCGAGGATTGCACGATATTGGCGTCTGGCCAGGATATTGATGCCCTTTGTTCAAAATTGAACTCCTATCGTGCCCACATTTCACACTTCTTCACTGCAACCGACGAAGTCCTTGGATATTCTCTTCACCAGTTGGACGAAGGAGTAGAGACCTGAATTAGATATGAAGGTCGACGACGTAAAAATTCCGACCATAAACAACTCAAAGATATTGAGAGTCACACTCGACAGCCTACACTCCTTCACTCCGCATACGACCGCCACAGAGCCACAAGACGGCGTACATACAAGCAATGAACGTCATTCACCAGGAGTAGTCAACACCTTCAAACACTCTCTGCCTGCGAATGGCAGACGAAGAGCTCGAGCTGCCTCGAGAGACCCGCGTAATACTGGCTCATCTTAGATCAGGTTAAACTCCTACTTATCCAAACTCGACCTCAACATACCCAACGTATGGCAAGCATGTAGGCAGTCTCCGCGACACTAACCACCTCTTTAGATGCCCCTGAGACGGACGCATCTAACACCACCTCTCTCCTTCTAGTCCGATGCCGCCGAAACAGCTCCTTTACTGGACCTTGTGTTAGACAACCTCGGTGACTTTAGACTAACTATCCTCCCCCTAAACGGGGTTGGAACAACCGCTACAACAACAATGGCTAACCGAGATTCCGTTAAAACCATTCTAGTAAACGGCGTCTTCACCACCAGCCATTGCAAACGAAGATCTCGAACTGTCTCGAGAGTCGCTCGTAACACTGGCGCAATTAAGATCCATCTAAGCGACTAAGTTCTTACATATCCGGTCCTGACCCCGAGATACCCAACGTCCGACACTAACCACCTTTAGCATGTCCTTTAAAACCTACTCATCTAAACCCTCTGCTTCTCTCTGGTCCGATCATCTCTTATTGGTGTATGACTAAATGATCTTGCCTGCTCTTAAGAGGAGTTGGACTAGTCACTACAACAACAACATTAACGTGGTGCCACTGTAAAGAAAAATCGGTGATATAATACAAAACAAGTAACTAATGGGGGAATAATTGGGAATTTTGAACACAAAAATTATTCATTGTAATAAAGAAAACTTCCTGGCGCATATTTTTTCATTTCTTCCTATTATGGGTACTCAAACGAATACATTAGTAGTTTAGAAAAAATATTATATATCTCCGATTACCAAAACATCTTACCTGAATTTGAGCTGCTTCTTCTATTTGTTTTTTATATGTAAGCTTTTCAACATCAGTTGTAAGTTGGTATGCATAACTGTTAAGCAGGTCTGATATTTGCCGAACAATTATTCCGAATGCTCTGGCCAAGTTGCTTGCTGTTGTTGCCATAGTGTGTTGTTCTTGCGGTGGCACAGTTACCGTAGAGCTTGTTGGCACAGTAGAACGTCGTAGGGCCATGGGATCAATAAAAACTAAATTTGAGCCTGCGGGTACTCGAACAGAAGATCGAGTTGCGTCTCTGTTGCGAATTGCCCATTGCATAGATTGTGGAGCTAGCTCACCACGCGTACTACTGCTATTATTTCGTCGTTCCAATTGATGATCTGCGAAACTGAATTCATCAGAATGTTCATCTGTTTCCCCATCTTCAGATGCTTCTTCTTCCTGAGGGGAAGAATCACCAGATTCGTCTTCGAGAAAAAGCACACCAATATCTGAAATCGTTCAAACCTTTAACTCTTAAAAAATTGCAATTTAATATATTTTAATTGAAGTACACATAAATATGTACATATATCAATATATAATAAATAAATAAACGATTGAGTCAAGTTTGCCCTATCCTAAATCTCTTGAACTCCGCTGTTATTCCATTTCTATTACACAAACAAATTAATATATAAGCGGAGAACTAAGTAGTTCTAAGAAAGGTAGATATGAAGGCTGTAGGAATCTACTTTAACATTTGTAGCTTGTTATTTTCAACTTTCCCTAGGAAGTGCCGTTGTAAGAGCTGGAAATCAGTAATTTGCGTCATTTGGAAAATGTCGTCATCATTAAAGAAATCTATACAGTTATAATTCACGGCAATCTTTTCTAAAAACAACCGTTTCCTCGAAATCAATTAAGCTGAAGGCAGCGTTTGTTAGAGAATGTGATTTTTTAAGAAGTAGTTCTTTTGTTTTTTATTTAAGTATGTATTTTGCAAACTTCTGTAATGGTTCTCTGTTAAGTATAATTTTTTTTTCTAAATAATATTAGTCAAAGTAATCTTAACATATATAATACACACAAATTCCAGAATTCAAGACATAAAAGTAAGAGATTTAAGAATTCAAAAGACACCAAATATTGAAAATACGGAGCTCACCAATACCTTTCGACGAAATGTAACCAAAAACCATTACAGAAAGCTTACCAAATTTGACTATTGGATTTATATTTTTCTGTTGCAAAGCTGTGTTGGGTTTTCCCCAAACTACTGGGTCCATCAGGATGTATAACACTATTTTTTTCTCGTCTTAATAAATAACGTCAGTATTCCGCAGTCCCGTAAACATTGGTAATAGAAAAGTTTATCCGCTTCTCAATATTAACCACCGACAACAATGGTATCTTTCTAGCTATTTGAGGAGTACTTTAGTATTTTTAAGACTTTTCGGATTGTCTGATTACTGCTTTATGGCAATCATTTTTATATCTTGCGTCAATTTTCTCAGAGGGGTTTAAGGATTATCAGTGATCTGCTTCGGTGGTCTACGTCCAGAAGGCTATATTTATTTATATTTTCTATCGTTGTGAGCTTGATGGAAAACATTTCCGCTGCTTCCTTAGCCGATTTCCCTTTATGGTAGTTAAAATAAACTAATGGAATAACAGTTGTTGGGTAATAATGAATTGAATAATACAACAATAGTTTATATGGCTTAGGATTTGTTGGTTCGATCCCTGCCACATGATGTCTGATGAGGAGATGTGGTGATCTCCGAAACAGCTGTCACTTCTACCATTTTCATTTGTTGCATAACAAATATATTCAATTCGTATTGTACAAACACCAGGCCTTTTAGTTTACTTAATACTTATATCAAAAATTATAATAGAATAAGATTTTCATTAGTTCGCTTGCCAGTTACTGTTAAAAGCGCTAAATCAATAAAATCTGAACTGTCTAAAGCATTAATCGAATTGAATGTAATAGACAAACGCATAGCTATGACGCACGCGTTCACTTGTTTTCAAATTTGTGATACCGTTAAGTTATCCACGTTTTATTTTAAATTGTGTGGGCATTTTGCAAATAATTATTTGACAACACAATATTTGGCGAATTTTAAATTTATTTTTTTTTACCGTTCGGTTTTAATGTTTGTTATTTCTGCGAGTGATATCTGTTAAGAATACTTAAATTAACAATACCAATAAATAGAAGATACCTTCAATTACAAAATAAAATTTGAAAAGAGATATATGTGATTTTTTTTTGATTTTGCAAACAATTAATTCACATACTGTATATTGCTACTTTTTTTTGGCTAATTGCTTGCAGTTTCGCTCGCTATCCTTTTACCGAAGTTCAGAGGAACGAAAGTGTGAGAATCTTTTAGTTAATGTCTTTTTATAGTTCTTATTTACTTTGCGATTTTTTTTTTTGAATACATCACGTGGTTAGGTTGTTTAGTTTTTATTAATTTATTTAGAGAAGTTTCTTTTTATATAAAAACACATCAAACTTTTATATATTGCATAATTAGTTAATTATTAAGCCGAGCAGTCAATTGTTTGACAGAATTGTGAGCTAACTTCTCTGCAAGCAGAAATTTAATAAGAATGTAAGTCATGAACAATGGGTTTTCCAACCAGTCATGCCTGGAATAAGGTACAATACTTGGTATAAAAATGGTCTCGTTCCTTCCTAAATTTATCCAGCTTGGCCAAATTAGCCGTTGAAAAGCCATACAAACAAATTTTGTATCAGCAACTGGAAAAGTAGAATGCAGAATTTACTTACATCGACTCTGGCAGCTCTAGCCGATTGCTCTTATTTTGAGCTATATTTACTCGAAAAAAGCAAGATCAAGACGGTTTCATAACACCATTTCAAACAAAAATTTATTTTCAATTCCGAAAATTAAGCAATGCAGTTTCCGTTCCTATAACACCCCTGTACGTATTAATTTAATAATTTATAGAAGTTTAAAGAGCACAACCGTTTTGGAGTAGCGATAACGAGCGAGTTTAGAATTTAATTTATTTTAATTTTGTTGAACTGTTAAGTCTAAACTCATGCCTCTTTTCAGAATAATAGCGCGAAATACGGTAACCCACCCGAATGAATCCATTAAAGAGATAAGTGGCGCAGCAATGAGATATGTGGTTGGAGGGCTCACAAGTCTCATGAAAAGCTTGAAACATTACCACTTTTCGAATTTTTTTCTCACTATGTACATATATACCAGAATTTACCATCAGCTGGAAGCGACTCGTGTGAAAGCGTCCGACATACATCCCATTTAAGCTACTATAGGCCGAACAGGTCCATCATAACCATAAATCTCACGTTAATAATCTCAAATGCAGTTGAAACATTTCTAGTTTCAACATTAACAATTTCATAATTTAGCTCACTAAAAAACTTATAACAAAAGTTGAGCCAGACACTTAATCCTGCTTATACATTTTCAGTCAATAAAAGCCTGAAAATATGAAGAGCGAACTTAATAATAATACAATAGATTACATGTGGCTAATGTCGGCGCAGTAGTAAAGCACTCGCCTGCTAAGTGAGGGGGGAGATACGGAAATATGGAGATCTCCGAAACACTTGTCGCTTCAACCACTTTTCTTTGTTTTATAACAAAAATGTTCAATTCATTTAAACAACCAGGCCTTTAGTTTACTTAATACTTATATAAAAAATTATTATATATTATAGCATGGCCGCAAAACAATTATGAAAACATGGTTGTTAGATGATGCAAGGTCCGAGTTGTTTGGCGAATGCTTCAAAATATAGTTTAGGCTCACACAACGAAATATTAATTGAAACCGGAATGATAGGAGAGCCAAGTAAACGTTTTTGGTAAAAGAAATTTCTTCTGCTTAACTTTTTTAGAAAATAATGAAGGAAAGGTAAATGATAACACTACTGAGGGAGATATTTTAAGTAATCAAACACTGCTTTGTGTGGAAGCAATGTAAAATAATATTTCCAAAAATTAGAAACCATTAGAAACTAAGTGTAAGTGAAGGGTAATTTTTTAAGAGCTATAGGGAAGTTGTTCAAAAAAAAAAACTTAAAATTCAGAAAAATTCATATCTTTATTTCAATTCATATAATTTAATTTTTGAAGATTATCACCAAACTCCCTTCTCAAAGAGCCCATTATTACGGATGCTGTGTGGCATGTGGTACCGTTTTGTTGAAACCACATGTCATGCAAGTCAAGCTTTTGGATTTTGAGTCATTTGTACCATTCACAGTTACGTTACGATTCTCATCATCTTTAAACAAGTACGGTCCAATGATGCCAGCAGCCCATAAACCGCACCAACCTGTGATTTTTTTTGGATGCATTGGTAGCTCTTGCAAAGCTTCTGGCTGATCTTCACTTCAAAATCGACAACTTTGCGGTGCGCACCCATTAAACCAAAATGAGCTTAATGATAAAATGGAAGAAACACACGATGAAATTTCTTAACAGAGCTCGCATTTAGATAATGAAATTCAATCAATTGCAAGAGTTGTTCATTTGTAAGACGATTCATGTTAAATTGTAGACCAAACTGAAGTTTTTTGACAGTGATACAAAACACGAAACATGCGTGAGCTGTTTGAACTAGTGTTGCCAAAATGAAAATAGGTAAAAAATCCCCATTTATTACTAGTCCTACCTTACCTTATCATGATTAATTTAACTATTCACATAATATGTATATTACGCATAGCTCCATCACGTACCGTTAAGCTGAGGACATCACCGTTATCTATTTCAGGTCTGGCGTCAATAACTTAAAATTGTCGTCATACAAATTATGAAGTACAAGGCTTGCTCTTACAAAGTGTAACTCGCTGTAATACAATTGACTGAGTCTCTGCTTAAGCAACCGAAATGTATGTCCAATCATTAGACTCTCAGAACTGTTTTTTTAATTCCTTTGATTAGCTGATAACTGCACATTATCCTTATATGGAGTTATAACGAAATTCGAACAGGGATAAAATGAATCTCTTAAATTAGAAATATTGACGACACTGTGTTGGAGGACTGGGTAAATGTTTGAATTTTCTAATACTCATCTAACATGCGCTGACCCCGGAAATCAAACGTTCATATCAAAAAACTTCTTTTTCTCATTACCGATTCCTTGCATTTGAAGGCTAACAACATTTTATCGGTCTACAAAATAATCACGTAATTTAGTAATGTATACTCTCATATGGGTCTCCGCCTATTGTACCTAATTATATAAATCTAATTTATTTTTTTATGTAGAGCTGTAGAACCTGGCCGATAAAGAAATCCTCAACTCTATGGAAAGATACGGAGACTTACAGAAGGTTTCAAGACCAAAGCAGACTATTGTATGACACAAAGAGGCGATCTAGTAGCTAACTGATGCCAAGAGTATAATAAATTTATGGAAATAACATCTATCCTGCGTGCTGAATGGCAGTGAAAGTGCCCGAAAAGCAATAGCCGCTTGAAAAACAACAAAGCGGCCGGGGCTGAGGGATCAAATCTTATCCAATATGGCTTGACCTTGTAAATCAACCATTGACCAGATATTCACCATGCGCCAGATCTTGGAAAAAGGCCATGAAAAGATGATCGGCATACACCACCTCTTCGTCGATTTTAAATCGGAATTAATGCGAAGTTACCTCTTTTCCATCAAAACCTATACAGTTCTGTAATCGAACATTACGCCACACCAAACAAAAGCTTCGTCAGGAACGGGAAGACTCTCTGCAAGCGGTTGGTACCAAACGAGGTTTTAGACAGGCTGTCTGTTCAGTCAGCTCCATTCCTCTACGGTCATTTGACAGGCTAGAATGCCAGAGATCGTGATGCGCGTTAAAGTCGCTTAAAACCAACCGGTTTTTTCTAAGTATACCTATATCCTTGCGGATTACGTTGTATCCGGCCGGGGTGGTGGAGTCTTTTCTGGCACGCACTGCAGAAGTAATCTCTCGGACCAGGGTTGGTCTCGACGCCAGATATGATAAGGATTTGGAGCAGTCCGGCTGCGAGGTGTTGCTCCGTTGGCGAACTTAAATTAATGTCACCTGTTGACCTAAACGGGGTTGGGTCGCCGAAAGGGTGACAGCCCTTAGCCAGATAAAATTCGGTCAACTCCGGTAAGTAGAACCGGCTGAGAGTTGTACAATCTTCTTTAAGATTGTACAGCTACTGGCGTACGCCGATAACATTGACATTATTGGACTCAACTTCCCCGCCATGAGTTCTGCTTTCTCCAGACTTGATAAGGAAGCAAAAGATGAATCTGGTAGCGAACGAGGGCAAAACGAAATATCTTCTGTTATCAAACAAACATCTGTCGCATGCGTCACTCGGCTCTCTCCACTCCGCTGGAAAGACCAGGTAGAGAAGGAGCAATGTTAACTCGGTGATAATAGCGTAAGCTGTGTTTACGCCAGTAAAGAAGAAGAATAAAAGCGAATTATCCGAAACCGACGAATAGAAATATATACGAAAATTTAAATATTTAACTGTTTTGAGATTTTCTACTAAGAGAGTGTTTCATGAGACTTCTGCTCTGGGTTGCTCTTCAGGTTTTTGACAGCTGCTATATTCTTCTCTAACCTGCTAATAAAATATAGTGCACACGTTCGCTTATATATACCTATTGTTCCACAAATTGCTTCGGTTTTCATTCCCTATTATTATCCCCTTTCTGACATTTGTGCGTCACAATAGGTTTTGTTTAAACCATTCATAGTAGTCATGAAAGTTGGACACAGGTAAATACATTGACATAAAAGAGCTCACCTGTCTCCGAACCAACTGTAGCACCAGTTTGTACGCTTCTTTGTGCGTCTTGATTACTTTGGTTGTCATCGGAATCAGATTCTGTTTCCGGGTCGTTAAAAGGAAAATCGTTATCACTTTCATCATCCTGAATAATCTCTTCATTTCGACCAGAGTCCATAACATCTTCCTCCTGACCATGGTTACTGTTTCCCCTGTTAATCGTTTCTTCACTCTCATGAGCATCTCGCAAAACTATAAATATGAGTTTTAATTTTAAATTAGTGTACAGAAAATCAATATTATATTAGTATAAGGGTAAATAATATATAATATATAGTATATGTGTAAAACAGGCTCTTTATTTACAAATATATGCAGTTTTACTATATTCATTAGAAGTACTTTAATTTATGTATAAACTGATGACAATATTTTATGGGGAAAACATTTTAACAAGTATTACTGGATATAATTTCTATTGGTAAAATACCAAATCCCGATTTCTTCGAATGCGATCACTGGATTGTTAAATAAAAGTCTCAAGATTTGTTTTACAATTTCTTAACTGTAAGAAACTTAACCACTTGGTTCCCACGTGACTGTTGGCAATCATAACTTCGAGGTGGTCGATAATTATGTATAACTAGGGCTCAGCATTAACACCAATAAAAACATCAGAATTAAAATCCAACGCATAAACACTGTTGCCAACAGGTGCCATTTTGGACTCAGTAGGCAATTGAAAAGTAAAGTCCACTCTCGGCGAACGAAAACCAAACTCAACAAGTTGCTCAGAATACTGGTTCTACTATATGGCGCAGAAGCGTGGACGATGTTAACATCTGATGAGTCTGTAATGCAACTTTCCGAACGATAAACGGTTTGTTGCGCATTGGCAACGGCAAATACCGCAGACGATGGAACGATGAGCTATATGATCGTACGAATACAGACTTTTTAAAGCTAAGCTTTCCATCAAAATGAATTCACCTGGTCGTCTTCCAATTCTTCACTCGCCATTTTATTTTGAAAAACTCAAGTATAAATACATTTTTTAATCGCCGATAAATGAGGTCCTGAATTCAACCCATGCATGATAACGCATAATTTTTTGAATTTTTCTTAATGGAATGGGTATAGCTTGAATTTCGCCTCAGTCGGTGACATTGCGTACTAACATTCCGAAGGCCAGATCTCCTACTACGTATTGCGATTTCAAAGTAAGATGCGATCCGAGCTGATAATGGCATTACATAACACTCTCGCATTCGTTTTCGCAAAGTAACTTTAAAATGTGCCAAAACATTTAAAAAATTTATTATTTTATACAAAATTCTATCAATCAAAAATCTATACGAAAATTATATAAAAATGGATTCGGCGGCATTGTGGTTTGACGACGAAAACAAAGTTACAATTCAGCGAAGTATACAATTTTATGGTTGTCGTTGTAGCGGTTCGCTTACCCCGCTTAGGTACAAAATTGATCAATTTAAGTCGCCATCTAGGGGGAGGTCCACGAAGCGGGAGATAGGGGTTAGATGAGGTGGTTTAAGGGGGGGCCAAGTGAAAAGGTGGTTAGTGTCATGCCGAAACTCTCTACAGGCTGGGCGTACTTCCTACGGTAACATCTCAATAGGAACTGCTTGCACAGCAAAGCATTATGCTCCTTAACTCGTAGCATAGATGCTTTCCTGTCACGGCCCTGAGGACGGTATTTTGGCGAGCCTGTAGGTTATTCATCTGCGTCTCGTTCGTCCTCGGCGTCCAGATCGGTACAAGATAGTTTACGACAGTCCAGCTAATTGCTTTGTAAGTTTCAAGCAAGGTTTCTTTGTCTTTACCTCAGGTGCTAGCTAACGCTCTGAGTATTATGTTGTGACTCTGGAGTTTTGCGGCAATTGCGGTCCTATGCGGAGTGAATATCTTTGCGTTGTTTGTAGTAGGAATTTTTACGTTATCAGCCTTTAAATCTAATTCAAGTCTGCACTTCTTCGTCCAGCTGATGAAGAAGGTAGCCGAGGATTGCGTTGGTTGTAATTTTAAAATACGCCAATATCGTGCAATAATCGGCATAGGAGGTTAGGGAAACTCCTTCTAGTGGACGAGAGAGTTTCGATACGTAAAAAAACAGTAGTGGGGAGAGGACACCATCCTGCAGAACCCCCTGTTTAATTTTCCTAATTTTCGATGTTTCAATTCGGAATATTACCGATGATTGCCCATAGGTAGCCCATGACCCACCTCTGGGACCCCTGCGGTATTGAGGATTCCTCAATGTCCGTTCGTAGCACTGAATGGTTGACGGTTCGAAAGCTTGACAGATCCAGTGCTACCAGGACAATTCGCATGCAGGGTCGGTTTTGGTTAAGGCCATTGACTATCTGAATGACGTTTGATGGAGTGTGGAGAGCACTGAAGGCGTTCTCTGTGAATTCCGTGAAGCCGGACCATTTAGCTTTTTTAAAGTTAACATATGTCCGGTGGTCCGCGGAAAAAAAGTCGGGAGGCCTGTCAATCGAGATTTGTATGGGCAAGTGGTCCGTTGCTAACGTCAGTATAGGTCGCCAGACTATACTGTCTATCAGACCAGCACTCGCAATTGTTATGTCTGGCGAGCTTTGGCAATTACCCATAACTCTGGTGGGAGTGATGTCGTTCATTGTGCAGAATGTCGAATCGTCTATTTGTTCTGCCAGCCCCTTTCCTTTGCGGTCCATTTCGGCAATTTGTAACAAGAGAAATGTATATATTGAATATCTCAAGCTCGGCATCGCCTGACCGGATAGCTATGCCCTGACATTCTAGGGTAGTATCCCTGCGGTGGATGTCGCCGTCGATAAGACGACACTGCACAGTGTTGTTCACGCTAAGCCACAACATGGTCTCACTCGCGATCATTGCAGATTATGTTGTAATTGGCAGGTGCTCCCTGCTCATGTAGTCGACTATCTCCTCGATCTTCCCCTGAAGTCCGTTGCAATTTAAATGTAGAAGTCGAGTTTGTGTCCGTGATGCGTGGATGGATTTATGTGTAAAATGTCAGAAATAAAAATTAGATCAACAGCAAAACTCTTGCAAATTTCATTACACTGTCAAAATTGTTCAAACTTCAACCAATAGGGAAAATGTCAGAAGAAGCGTTTGGAACTAGAAATAAGGATTTAGAAACTTCGCGACCATCAGACTCTCCAGGAAAAAAACAAAAGTGTATACTAAGCCTTTTTTATATTATAAATTAAAAAAATATTCTAAATTAAGGAAAAGATATATAAAATTTTATCAGAATAATAATCAGAATCTGTGTTTTTTTTTTGTATTGTATTTAATAAATAATATTTTTTAAAGTAAAAGTAAATTAAAGTCTTCAAAATTAAAAAAAAAAAAAATGTTTGAATTATAGCTACAAATGTAGCCTACTAAAATAAATAACCCAATACAGAATATCTCTTGAGATAATAGGCCTCCCCCTTATTTACAAATTTTTATAAAAATTTGACAATCATTTTTAGTTTCTAAGATTTCGATGGGCGAAAAAAGCATTGCAAATAAAAAGGCCCGCAAATACTGAAAAATCAATACACTTAGGGTAAGAGTTTATTACTTAATTTGATGCTGACCCTAGGGCCAACGTATTTGCGGTAAATATGACAAATATGAAATAAAAATCAGACTCGCGGGAAAAGGTTGCTTAGCCAAAGACAATTCCCGGCTTTGCAGCTTATAGATCTTATGTATTTTTACTTATTTTCAGCCTCCCATGAAATAAACAAATTTTACTTACCATCAATGTTATCAATTGAGAAATTTGGTTGAATCGTATATCCAACTGTAGCAGGATGTTCCGAATTTAGTTCTGGTTCAGCTAATGTATCTGTTGTAGATGACGGAGCAAGAGGTTCTACGCTAAATAAGTCATCTGAAGTCTAAAAAAATATAACGTTATTAGCATCTATGAACACATGAATGAGTATTCACTGTATGTAAAATAATATATTTGATGAAGAAACAACATGTAATCTCTAAGTGAAATAATATTTATAAATACATAATATAAATAAAAGTGAAATTAAATTACTTACTAGCAAATTTCTTAACAATAATGAATAATTATATCGATTGTAATTTGTTTGCGTTATTTATTGTAATTTGTTAAAACAATTTCAAGCAAAACACAAAATATAACGCGTATGCAGGTCTGAACAGGCAATAATCACGGGACAACAGCTGAAGCTCGATATTAATTTTAGCGCCGCCTCATAGGAAAACAAATGAAAATCGGCCCAAGAGTGAACGTGTTAATAAATAATATTTTTTTTAGAGTTGAACTCAATAACTAGCCAATAGAAAAATAAACAAAAAAAAATGAAATTAAACATAATTTCTTCTAATTAGAAAAAAAAAAATTCTGTTCAGATTATAGCTACATTGGAGTCTCCTAAAATAAAAGATATTAACTAAACGACGCTAAATCACTCATTTCGGCCACAGTGCTACGTTATGCCGAGAAACAGCAAACGAACCATCATGTTTTACTATTTTTGTTGAATTTGGTAATCATTCTACATATGAAAATCTATATTTCGTCCTACCATAAAATATTGCCCCATTTGGTTGAAGACCAATACGAATGTTCTTTGGCAATAACGGAACTTTTTAAACTATTTTGATTATCTAACAGCGTTCTTAACTTCTATTGAAGGCTTTACTGGCTTTCTACCGCTGCTTTTTATTACTTCTTTGTTACTTAATGTCATTGCTTAGATCAGTTTATTATTCGACAATGAAATGAAACAACGGACTTATAATCCCGATTAACTAATTTAAATTTGCAGGTGACAGACAGCGACATGGGATTTAGTGAATACAGTGAACTTTCAAAAAAATTGAGACTTCAAAAATTCGATTGATACAACCGATGTATGAATTGTGACATCGTCTTGTGAAACCACATATTACTGATGGCCAAAAAATAACGTTCCAACATGTCTCTGTAGAAAATACCATACACCGTAAAGTCATATCATCGACATTTTCTTTCGGATGAAACGATGTTTCATGAAGCACATGAGTGTAATAATTAGCTTTTTGTATTAAAACTTTATTTTTAAAAAGCTTTGATATTATTTTTTTTATTTAATTTTTTTTTTTTTTGCTGAAAATGACAAAGTTTAAGCAACTAACGAATGATGGATGAGCATTCAGCCATAATGAATTTGCAATTTTACAAAAAAAATGTATAAAAGCCAAGCCAGAATATGAAAGGATGATGCTGACTACTGGAAATAAAATTTAGTTATCAAAAAAAGAGACAAGGGAGCAAAAAAATATCAACGGGGAGAGTTGATAAAAGAGTTTTGAATATTTCCAACTCTGATCCCTTTAAATCTGTTTCAAAAATTCAATCACAGCTTACAAAAGAAGGTAAAAGGACCCCCAGTACACCAGCCAACATTCATTCATTCATTTGCAAGAAAGTTTTCCTACGTAAATGAGGCACATAGGAATAGGCACTTACTAAACTCTCAAAAGGATGAAGTGCTCTACACTGATGAGTTGATGATTAGACTTCGTACGGCTATCATACAAGTGCACCTTACCCACAATTGACTCGGTGGAAAAGGGTTAAATAGTTTTGGGATACATATCTGTGAAAGGCACTGGCATTATTGTGGTTTTGGAAGGAAAAGTTACTGCGGTAGCTTATTTAATAATGTTAAAGGAGCGCGCAATCCCCGAGGTTTAACGACTAATTGGACCGGATTTGCTTCACCAACATACTGTAAAAGTCATCTCCGAATATCTAAAAAAAAAAAAAATTAAAATGTGAGGGTGTTGCAATGGCATCCTCAGAGTCAATGGCTTGTCACCAATTGAGAATGCTTGGGCAATCCAAAAAGTATTTTGTTTGAAGAAATACACCCTTAGATTTTATTCACCTCGCTGCTTCATATTTCTCTTTGATGACTTACTTTTTCCACCCACTGTATATAAAAGCAACACAGGTTCATAATATGTGAGAAGAATACTGCGGGTTAATAGTGTTTAGTTATATAGAAGCTGAGATGCAATTTAAAGAAAATGAGTAAAAAAAATGGACTGCAATTCGATCATATTAATTAAATTAAAAAATAGTAATAATTGATATTTAAACATATAACGTGTTTTCATCTATACCTACAAATAAATATTAATAGATGTATGTATTGATTACGATTTCACATCGTAGATCTATGCGTTTGTATGCATATAGCGAAAAAACTTACATCTATGCATGTGGATGACATCGTAAACGGAGCCGTTGGCCGAACAACACCTAGTCGTACAGGAGCAATGAGTGATTCCGATACTTCACACAATTCTTCAATAGATATTTTATATAGGGTCTGAAAAACTTTAATGCAGCTTTGAATATGTTTGTTCGATGTCAAGCTTGACTTTCTCTTTTCCGGATTGGGCATTTTTTCTAAGCTAAAAATTACGAAGACTCGCACAACAGATCGGATAAACCGGCGAGCAACTACTTCTGCATCTTGTTTGCGGCCAGCTGTAGTCTCATCCTGCATTTCACGAACTAATGTCATCAAAAGTGTATCCAAATGATCTCCACTACACTTAACAAATAAGTTGTGTGTAAATTTATCCAGTAATGTAGATCCTTGTTGATTTTTGAGAAATATATTGTAAGCTTCTGCGTTCAAAGCATCGGCTGAGTTCAGTTGATGTTTTTCAATTTTTTCAGCACCAGTCATTATCATTGCTCTAACCGCATTCCAGTCAATAAGTAATCGCTCAAGAGCTTTTCTTGCAAATTTCGGTGGTTCCAGATCATGTTCTGGCATATCGGGTTCTAGATCAATAGTTGAAGATTTACGAGCAGTACCGCTTGATGCACTACTGCCTACATTTCTAACACGAGAATTTGCCCTGTATTGTCTCTGTTCTATGGTCTGCCGACCTACAGTTTGTATTAAAAATAATAAAATCGATTCTCCTTTGGAATTAAATCTAGTGACTAAATCAGTACATGATGCCAATTTACATAGAAGTGCAAAACGTTTATTTTGGTTTCCAGATATAAGAGCCTTACATTTGCACTTCTCCCAGCAGTCACAATATGCGGTTGGAGACGTTCGTTTTAATTTACAATCATGACCTTTGTGGCAAACACGTGCACATTCTGTGCAACAGCACAGCGATCCCGTCAAACCACATGTTTTACACTCATAAATGTTCTGGTTAATATGGTCAGCTCCAGTCCATGTAAAAGAACATGTATCATTGTAGCATATAACGTAAAGAGGAGACTGATCCGGGGGAGAACCTGATGGAAATATCATAGAGTTCTTAAGAGAAGCATCTCTTTCTGACAACGACAAAATTGTGTTTAGAAGTATTATACCAGCTTCATAAGCACGAGTATATACAGATATCATGAACGGAGTTCGGCCTTGAGAGTCCTTGAAACTGAGCATTTGATGTAAATATGGAAGAAACGTTACCGATGAGCACATTTGTTGCAAAATCAAAATCGCATGTTCTCGACGCTGCATAGGGTCCAAAATATAATTTGGTATCGAACTTGTTACTGAGGAATTCGCATTTAGAACAGTGCGTGCATTATTTTTCAGAATTTCTTCATCGTTCTGGCCACTCGTACCGTCAGTTAGAGTTTGACTTGTATTACTTCCCTCTAATGTCCACTGCGGAACATAGAGATGTTCTTCAACCGACTCCATCCTTTGCACTGGGTTCTGTTCTGATTCAGTGCTAATTAAGTTATTCATCATTTCTCGCAGGCTCACAGAGCGATTTTCTCTCATATTAACTGGTGGTGTAGCGGGACTTGAGGATGCTGCAACATTCGTAGCCGAAGCAGTATTATTTGTCTCTAAATGTGTTGAAAGGTTTGAACAATTGGACAAAACCGTATTGGCTAACGGGGTTGATCTAATAAGCCCAGACAAAGATTTCTTGTCATCTGCTTCTCTGTTTGATGTTGGTGCACACATGGTAACGCATGCGTGAAAAATATTACGACCACTATCGCAACGCTCTTCTATTACTATACCAATTTCATTGCCTTCGTCTTTTTCCAGGCGACTGAGTATGGAAAATGCATTTTTAATATCACATCTCAAAATATGGGGCATAAGCAATTGGGATTCGAAATTCAGTACTGTTAAACTTAGTTTAGACTTAACATTTCCTGTGCCAGAAAAAGGTATCACTCCAACTGAAACTTGTTTCACTGGTGGCAAATCGAGCCATTGAGGATCCTTTATGGACCCCAAGCAATCTTTGGCGATTGGGTAAAGAGCCCGGTTTCCATCGCATACTAAAATATTGCTGGCACCGCTACTACTATCATTATTACAAATAATGCTGATATTATTGGGATTCACTCCCAAAAAGGATGTACTTTCAGTAGGAAATTGACAAATTTGTTCTTGTTTGCTGTTATATAAATTAAACAAAGAGTAAAAAAGTTTACATCCCTCTTTTTTTAAAACATGAATTCCACGAACGTCTATAGTCATTGCTAATAATTGAAATCCAGTTGATTCATTGCAATTATTTATATTCACTTTTCTAGGAAGCTTTTGTAGCCAATCTGGTCCGCGTGATGCCATATTAGTTTTGTAAACCTGAACATCTTCGCGACGTAAAAGTCTGCACTGTTGCCAATCGTCGTCTTTTCCTTCACCACCATTGCTACAAGCAGAACCATTTGAAGATGTTGTAGAAATGGGAAAACGTACTGCAACAAAATCACCGTCAACTTTTAATACTTTTCCAATTGGGCCGACCCTATCTTCCACAAAAACAACATCCCTTAGCTGCCACAATTCTTCATCTTTCTTATTTTCAACATCGTCTTTCGTAGCCATTCTCTTTGCTCTCTTATGTGAAGTTACACTACTAGTATCACTACATGTACTTGATGCTGGTGAAGGTGGTGGTGGCATATCAATTCGATCGGTAGATTCTTTGGTAGAGCTTAGTGTTTTACTATTGCCTGACGGCGTATTAACAGTGGATGATATATGAACTTTTATGTAATCTTTTTCTGTATTTACTGAACTGCAAGAAAGTTGAGTTTTTTCAACGCTCGGTTGTGCCGTTAAGTTTATTATCTTAAATCTGCAAACATCGGTAAGGTCCCAGACAGAGTTTTGTAGCTGGCCGATCTTTGGCAAACCATTAAAACACGTAAAACCAATAGAGCCTGCTTGATAAATAGGACATTTTTTCATTATCACTTGTGTTCCAACACTTATATCAGAGGCTACCGATTTAAATGGCTTTTTAGTCTTTGTCCGAAATTTATCCCACAAATAACGACGTTGATCAAAAGGCAATACACCCCACCAATAAATATTGTTGTTTTCAGTCCTTACAGCGGTATATAAGGGGCAAACATGAATCGATGCAATTGGATCCATAACAAATTCATTAAACATTATTGTCGGATGTTCAAGTTTACCACCCAAGTATCCTAAATAATCGTCCATCCAGGTAGCAACACGCCCACTCTCTGTTACTACTGAACAACGAATGAAATTTGCAGAAATCTGTTCGACCTTTTCCGTTATATTCAAGCTCAAAGTTTTTGAATGGTAAACATTATCCATCTGAAAAGTAATATTCAATTATTTTAATAATACAGATGTATATGCAAAATACATTTAATATCAGGCGTAGTAAAATGAAATCCATTATTTTTGCATGAAATTAAATGCTTTAATTTTTTCTTTTCGTATCCAGCCTTATTCATACTGTTCCAAACGGTTTTTTTGTGCAATATTTAGCTTACATGACGGTCGGACTCAATAATATCCATGATTTTATTGACATTTTCGACAAATTGCTTTCCAATCCGTGAAGCATCTTTTCGATGAAAATTACCGGAATTAAACACCGAAATTGTGCATGATTGACTGTTGCTTTTTTAGTACGATTTACGAAATGTACGTCTTTCTAACGCCAACGATGGGGCTTATAGAACACAGATAAATACCGCCATCTATTGGAAAAGTAATGGATTTCTTTTTACGACACCCGATATAAATGGACAAATCAATCAACATAACAAATTTAAAAGCCTCAAAAACCATTAATATTGGGCTTGAACAAATAATAAACTCAAACAGTTAGTTCTCCTAAGCTTTTTAGACAATGCGCAGAGAGGACTATATTTTATATTTTGTACACCAAATCCTTGGGGATTATTTTATTAATCTTCCTTTCAAATGTTAGAACGATCGGCTGAAATGGAGAAAGCTAAGGATAGATCATACGAAATTCCACTGCCAACGCAAACATAAATTCGTCAGGTTATTCAAATATTCAATGAATGCCAAACTGCATATGGAACGCGTCTTTAAATACTATTTCTAAGTGGTTCCGAAGATTCCAGACTGGAATTTTTTCCGTAGAGGACAAGCTTTGAGACCAAAATCTTCTACTTATGAAGTCACTGTAGCTCTGGTGAAATCAACACACACACCTTTAAAAGCTAAGCAACAAAAATCAGTAGCAAGAGTAATGCCAGTTTATTTCGCCCGATATAAAATCGTAGCAGCTATCCCACTGGAAAAGGGTCAGACGGTAAATGCAAAATGGCACACCGAAGAGTGCTTGTTTCATTCATTTGAAAATGTGGAAATTGTACCAGATAAAGTGTTTTGAGGGTATTTTTTCTTCATTACTTTAACATTAAGAAATATGCTACCGAAAGCCATCGTATTTTACTAAACCTTTATGGTGACCATGCGTTAGCCGAACGAACGTGCCAAAAGTGGGTTACTTGGTTTGAAAGTGGCAGTTTCGACTTAAACGACATAGAACGACCCGGACAGCCAAATAAAATTTCAAGGCGAAGAATTGGAGAGATTGCTCGACGCAGATGCATGTCAGACGGAAGAAGAACTTGCAAAAGTATTAGGAGTTGATCAAGCAACCGTTTCCAGACGATTAAAATCATTAGGATTCGTCCACAAGCTTGGAAATCGGGTGACTTATGAATTAAAGCCGTCGTTAAAGACGTCGAACTTCGATTCTGCATGTCGGAAATGTTGCTTTAACGCCACCGAAAGAAGCCATTTTTGCATCGGATTGTCACTGGCGATGAAAAATGGATTCATTATGGTAACCCAAAGATCGTATGTAAAGCCCGGCCAACCATCGACATCCACGGCAAAGCCGAATATCCATGGTGCCAAGGTTATGCTATGTGGGACCATAAAGGTATGCCCTATTATGAGCTATTGAAATCGGGTCAGACGATTTATGGGGACCTTTACCGAAAACAATTGATACGTTTGAAAAAGGCCACCGGAAAAACGACCAGACACGAATCAATAATTTTCCATCATGACGATGATGACGAAGGTCAGTTAAAAACTCTTTGGAAAACTGTGGGTGGGAAGTTCTACCTCACCCGCCTTATAGCCCAGACATAGCACCTTCCGATTATCAGTTCTTCAGATCAATGCAGAATGCCCTCTCCGGAGTACGCTTCACATCAGAACAGGGTGGCTTGATTTTTTCTTGATCTCCAGGCCGGAGAAGTTTTTTTTGGGATAGGATCCATAAACTGCCAGAAAGATGGGCAAACATCGTAGCTTCCGATGGGCAATACTTTGAACATAAAGTGTATAACCATTTTTTCACAATAGTCTTAATTTTCGAAGAAATAAACCGCGCGAATTAATGCATTTTTCTGGTCAACTTACCGAAATTTTACTTGGGCAAGCGTTTTTTTTATAACATACATAAATATCAAGTTTTACCCACTGCATAACAAAGTTGTTTTGGTAATGTCACCGGTTGTGGTAACCTTGTATTCAATAAACCTTGTATTTATATAGATTCCTAAGATTTCTAAACCGACAACTCGTCATTGGTAGGATGCAAAGCTAATATCTATTCGTAATTCACTTTGTATTGATCTGGCCGATACAAAGAGATCTCGCCTTCTGTTTTTACGTAATACCTTTTTAAAAAGACTTCGGACCATCTTTTTTTCGAAGATTTTGTTTAGCACCGAAAATATAACTAAATATGATTGAAATATCATCTGCGGTTTGTTTTTTATTTTATTTTTTAGTTTAATATAAAGATGTGGCAAACTGTATATGTATATAGTTAATTACAATTTTAATCCAGAAACTGGTCACAAAAGAAAGTTAAAATTACTTGCTTTGGCAATTTTTTTTAAGCTATTGCAAGCGGCAAGCAATTAACTTATATAGATGCAAAAAATATAAATTCAAAATATTTGAAACAGAGAGCATCAAATAACTGGTTATCATAAGGTTTAAATTATATTCGATAAGAACTACAGGCCGACCATCGAGAGATTACCAGTGGAAATAAAGTTTCAGGTAAAAATCAATGAAAAGCGAGAACATTTTTTCCGATCCATACTACAGAGTGAAGAACTTAACTCAAATATGTAGCAAAAGATGTTAAGTAGTGAATTGTTTAAGCCATTTGTAAAGAAAAAATATTTCAGAAAGCTTCATTTCTACATGATTCGTATCATATATACTATTATTTAATTTGCCTAACATTGTACTCCGATATTACCTCTGATTTATAGGGCTCCGATTCTGACCATTTCCATTGATGGAGCTCTCCATTTTCTGAAAGAGCAATTAACTCAGAATATAATGCTCCAATTTTTTTGAATTTGATGCTATTTTGATCTGCCCAGGGTTGTAATTCTTCTGAGATCCAAATTGGAGAGCTGGAGGGTGTATCTTTCTTTTTTAAGTCTGAAAAAGCAAAATAAGATAAAGTACTAAAATTTGAAGATACATAAATAGTAAAATAGTCGTATTATTAATAAATTCGATTATTAGGAAATTAATGAACGTCAATTGTTGTGTCTTTACACGCTGTTATGAATAGCTGGTTAGAAGGCGGCCCCTTCTTGGAATTGTTTCTAATATAACGCGCGGTCATCAATAGAAGGACAAATATACTCATAGATAATCTGCTCGCCCGGTTCCCATTTAAAAAAAGAAAACGTTTTATCTGCTGCTAAGCCCTGCAACATCCTTATCTAACCCCAAATGTGTGGTCATACCAGCAACTAATGGAAAAATCAATTAGGAATTGTCCGTAAGCCTCGTGGTCACATTTAGGCATTTCGGGGACCTTAATTTAGCCTAAAAGGCTCCTCCACACAATATTGTTTTCAACATCTTTTTTTAAATGGGAACTTCATATTTATAAAAAAAAATGATCAACTATCTATCGAGTATGCGCTCGCTTATCGGTCCGGCTCTACTGGTAAACATAAGTAATGCTCTAATCTCACCTATAATAAATTACGACTTTAAAATAAATTGCCACCATTCTAGGAATCACTGCAAGAAGCTTGCTGCTCCCTAACAAGCTGATATCCGCAAATCTTTTCGTGCGTGTATTTCCGATATGCCAAAGAAGGAAAATGTTATCTGAATCTGAACTAAAATTTACCCGAAACTTATCACCTATCCCAACATCTTCTTGATACAGCACTGTCCCGCAAACGATCGCCAAAGGTAACATCATTCATCTACAAATGCCCGCTGTTTGTGAAGGAGAATGCGCTACAACTATATATGGAATTGCCTTAGGGTACCCTTGAAGTAACTACACTCTTCAAATCAGCCAGCTTGAACCTGCTATTTACTTTACTATAGTTTTACTATTTACTCCTAATAAGCTGCAGGATAGATTTTAAATAATCTATTTTCCTTTTGCTTAATATTCATTAAAAAAAATATTAGACAATTTATAATCATAAAATAATTGCGGTCGCCTCCGACATCCCTCCGAGTGTATTTATGAATAAATGAAATAAAGATATCTCATAAAAACCCATTAGCGGTTCGGCGGCGTCTTAGTATAAACTGTAGGTCCTTCCATTTGAGTTGGAAAAAACAACAACAATAGATGCAAAACCACATACACCGAATACATACCTCCATTATTATCCCACACATAATCATCTTTGTTTAGCCAACGCCGAGGTCCATAATATTGACGGTCTCTCCAACGACTAAATGCTTCGCGATCAACGCTCACAGAAGATATTTGAGCAGATAAACTATTATTCCCAGAAAGTAATCCATTTGAACTAGGAGACGACCTTAATTGATTTTCCGAATTGCTAGAACTAGCCTGGTTTCTTTCATTACGTATTCGATCAAATAATAAGCTATTTCAAAAATAGATATGAATATGACATATAGTTAAGAATTTTAGTTATACATAATAAAACTTAGTACATATAAGGATTAATTACTTGCGTATGCTGGAATAATTGCTAAATATTTCTTCCGAAAAGAGTCCATCCGAGGGATCTATTATCACACTGTTATTATCTCCATGAAAACCATTGTCGAGAAGCGATATTAAATCTTCTGGAACATAGTTATCACCCGCTTCTTCCGTGTCTTCGGCTTCCTCATCGTCTCGAGAAAGTAAATTGTTCACTGCTAAGTTGACATCTAAATTAGTCCTCTGAAATGCCAACAGTATTATTTCATTTACTATCCACAATTTTGTTTATAGAAACACATACCTGTAACTCTCTTATTATTAGATTTCTGCTTTTACCCTGTAGAACAACCTCAGCTTGGGAAATTAATTCCTCAGGAACATAAGTTGCAGGCACTGTAACAATTGGCCGACTAGACGAACCATTTCCAATAATTACTCCAGTACTGCGAGAACCTGTGCTTTGATTTCCAGATCCGGACCTCGCGGTAGTTCGCATAAGACGTGCTCTTGAGCGCGCTAGTTGTCGAGAAGACGAGGCGACGTTTTTTGAGCCGGTAGACACATTAGGACTGTTATTTGTATTACTATAAGAAGTAACGTCATTAATAAAATATTTTACATATTTCAATGCAACTCACTTTTTGTTGTTATCGATCCTGCTAAGGTCAATGCGATCAGGATTAATAGAAAAAGCTGCTCGAAAAACCTTGCCGTCTTCTAAGAGAATACCAATATGGCTTGGACCGATTGCAATTTCTTTAACTGGTATTTTCAGTTGTTCAAATATTCGATGTGTAGCAAAACCAAACCTATTAAGTTTATCAGATACTTCTCGAAGCCTATAAAATAAAATATTATATATTTTATATGATATATTGACTACTACAGTAGTTAGTAGTTGTTTTGAACGGCTTCACCCGATGTTCACTTTAATTAAAAAAAAAAAAGTATCTCAGTTCAAACTGATTCGACCTAAACATCGAGGACACAGCAATCTATGTTTAATTAAGATTTTTGATTAGTTAGAGCTCTGCAATTCTTTACTTATCGACTGTTCAATTTACATGTTTTTGCAACTTTGGTTCATTTTTTCATTTGCTGCATTATAAATATTAATTCAAATACAATATAAGATGCATTCAGAATCATTAACCACTTGCTTTCAAAATGATTACTATTCTCACAGTCCTAAAATTAACTAAGTAAACTGTAGGAATCTACTTTAAAATTTCCAACATGTCATCTTCAATAGCTTACATTTTACTAATAAATATTTGAAACAATTTATAAAAATTTGAATAAATTTAAATGTAATTTAAAGTAGGAATCTACTTAAACATTTATAACTTGTTATTTACAATTTTTCAGTTTTTATGAATTATTATAATTTCAATATTCAAATAAAAAAGATTACATTTTATTTCAAATAAAATATTTATAATTTTATAATAATATAGATATATATATAGAGCTCCTTATATAAATTATGCTGTATATAAATAATTTCCTTGAAACTTTTCGCCATGTCTTATTACTCATTAATTACCACATTCGCACAATTTCTTCAGAATACTGGCAACTAGAATTAACAATTTGGTTATGATTGCACCCTTAAGCTCATACAGGTATTGTGAAATTGACGATTATTTGCTTAAACCCTTCTCACAAATATTCCCCACACGTTCTCTATGGTATTCCGGAGAGCAGTCCAAAACCCATTCCTGGTTTCTATGAAGCAGTCAGCTAAAAATTGACTCATTCATTGCTTATATAAATTCGAGGATTATCCTTTGGGATAAGCCCTGGCAGAAGAAGAATGCTGTTTTCAAACCCTTGAATATGGTCCTTCCTAATAAATTGAGACGTTAAGATTTGGAAGTCGTGCCTAGCTTTGGACGAAAAAATTCTGTACAGTAAAAAAACTCAAAGAGTTATCGCAAATTCCTCCCATAGAACTCATCACAAACATAGTGAAACAGATGAACTTTGGCCTCAACAGCAGTAACATATTGTGCCCCCGGTGTATATTTCTACAAAATGTGGACGCGATTACTTGTACCAAGGCATAGTTCGATTTACTCCAATAGTTTTTCTAGTGTTCCGTTTTCGCAACATGCTTGGATTTCTTGCCCTTTTTTGGCACTTGAGATATTGCCAGCCCAAGAATGTTCCAGCATTCCGCCACGTTCTTCACTTGAGATTTTACCATGCGGGCATGGTCAAGTTAAAGTAGTATTTTTTCTTAAGAGTCTGCTTTAAAGTTAGAGTGAAAAAATGTTGATTTTGCTAACTTTGTGAGCTTGAGAAAAAATTGAAATCTCATCGCTTGTATTTCAATTTGATGCTTAAACGGATTTTAGTTTACCAAAAATTAAAAAAAAAAAAAAAAAAATGTTATTCAAAGCGGTTTTATCCATTCCTTATTTCAGGATTATAGATCAGACAACGCATCAATTATGTTTAATAAAATTATAAATATGGAAAAAAATAGCAGCAACAGAATTGAGTACTGTCTTTCGGAAGGCCAGGTTTGAGTCCTGGCCTGACCATCATCCAAACTTAAAGGAAAATGCAAAACTATTCTTTTTGTGGCTTTTGATGGTTGCACTTTACGACCTATACCTATACATATACATCTGAGCTACAAAAAATTACACAAATTCACCGACCAGCACATACTAACACGAGAAGGTCCTGAAATAGACCTGCAGATAAGGAAATTTTCCATACACGTGAAACATTTACTCCACAAGTACAATGAAGTATCACAGTAAAGACAAATCATAAGCATTTTTACAAATGGGCAAAATGGATTTCTAGTAGGCAGCCGAGCTGTCATTATGGACATCCTTATAATTATTGAATCAGGCTTTAGCTTAATATCAGAAGTACGCTAAGAGGGCTTGAATTTTACTGCCAAGGAGCGACCCACATTGGAAAAAAATAATTTTCTATATTTTCTGAAGTCCGTCCAACCTTAATTTTACGAATGTTAGTGAATAGTGCTAATAATTCAAGTAGCCAGTTATAGTATAATATAACACCAATAAAACGTTCCAGTAAATATGTATATGTACCCCAATTGCATTGGAATTCGTAGAGATTTCGACAAATGGATTTTCAATATATATTAATAATTATATAAAACAAAACACTAAATCACTGTATACGTATTCACAGCAACCCGAGATTGATTTTCTTACTCATTAAGTTAAAATTGTTACCAGCAATTTTAAAAATTTTAAGTATAACATTTAATTTCTTTTGGATTCATATAATCGCCAATAAAATTACCTTTCAATGTTTTGCTCTTCTGAACCCGGTAAAGGTTGTATTACAAACTGTAACGCAGACATTATTTATGAATTTACTACTTCCCAAAATTAGTAACGTTTAACATGTTAAAATTCATTTAACTTTCCTACGAATATTGCATTCTACCAGGAAATGTATGAAGCAATCATATCGATATACTAGCCGATAGAATGAATACACCAATGCTATCGATAGCAAAATAACATCATCCGAGTAGTCAAGCTATCAAAGTTGCAAAATAAACAGCAATGTCGTGAATTCGTCACAACACTGTAATTTGATATATCAGCATAGCCCAATAGCAGCTAACTGAATTTATGCCTAGTTAACAATAACAATTAAAACACATTTTGAAGAGAAGAACGATTTGCCCAAATATGTCTATTATGGGCTTCTAGAGTATACTTCTGAGCGCTGCTCCCGCCACTTCAAGTCTGGGGTTGGCGTAGAAGGTATTTTCGACAAACCAGACGGGAAAATCAGCCTTCACCACGAAATATCTCCTAACGTTTCGAGGCCGATCGGCTCCGCCGAGGTCCGAAATATTGTTGTCGGTAATACTAGATTTCAGCATAAAAACATTCGCCAAGCTACTTTACCCTTTATATCGTAATATACCAACCAGATCGATCATGCGTGTACTTCGAGAACCCTACATCGACTCGGACGACTAATGCTGCAACTACCCATTTCACTTACCAGCCTTCCATAAGTGGCGACGAAAAGGCGAGATAAACACACGAGTTATCGACGCCGCTGAGAGCGGCGAAATGTTGCCAGCTGCCTGTGTGTTTGCACACTTTTGAACAAATTCAATATTTTCGTCAACAAATTTCATAATTTGTTTGCTTGAATATAAATACAAGGCAAATATACATGATCTATATGGTAACAAATAATTAGTTACGCATTTATTTTTCATTTCTTTTGAACAAAACTACGCATTATCTTCGATTATTTAATGTTACTTTGAGAAAAGCTGTACTGGCAACCTTGTATAGCAACGAAAAATGAGCCGAGCCGGTTTTCGGAAAAAAAAAACTTCGTTGGTTTCTGCGGAACAACCCTCACCAACGGTATGGGAAAGCGATGACAACTTTGTGTTTACATGGCGCTCTCATAAGATAGGTTACTATGGACGGCTGGTACGCGTGTTGGGTAGTTGCAGCCTAACTTGTTGCAACGGAGATATGTACCAAAGAACGTCCATCGACAAACACATGGAAGGTTCGCCGTCGAACAAATTGCCGTTCCGGTTTCTACTCGGCTTCAAGAGATTCAACTCAGACAAAGAGGTGAAATCGTACATGATGCGCAGAGTATAGTGAATTTATGGAGGAAACACCTGAATTCCCAATCCATGACGATGAAACAGACGTTCCGCTACCTGACCATGTCGAACTTCGAAATGCTATTACCCGCTTAAATAACAATAAAACGGCTGGAGCTGACGGTCTCCCAGCAGAGCTATTCAAACTTTGCAGTGAAGAAATGGCAAAGTGCATGCAACAGCTTGTTTGCAAAATTTTGTCGGAAGAAAGTATGGTCGACGATTGGAACCTCATAGAGGGGATAGACCCAAACCACCTTTTCGTCGATTTTAAAGCAGTATTCGACAGCACGAAAAGGAGCCGTCTCTACGACGCTATGTCTGAATTAGGTATTCCCGCAAAACTTGGATGGCTGTGTTATCGAGAAGAACCAAAAGAGGTTTGAGACAGGGTGACTCTTTATTGTATAATTAATAATTTGATTCTGGAGAGAATGATAAGAGTTACAGAGCTGATTAGAGGTTAAATGTTTTTCAAGATTATGTAACCGCCGTTAGTTCTATTTGCTCTAGACTTGATAAAGAATTGAAGCGAATGGGTTTGGTAGTGGACGAAGACAAGATGAAACACAAAATCACACAAACAGTCATTGCCATCGCGACTCGGCTCCCACGTCACTGTTGTCAGTCATAACTTCAAGGTCCTCTTTTGACGAACAAAAACCAAACTCTACAAGTAGTTCATCATACCTACTGGCCGATGTTAGCGTCTGATGAGTCTGCATTGGGAGTTTTCGAGAGATAAGCTCCTCGAACTATTTAAGGTCCTTTACGACGGAACGCTGTACGAGCAACATATATGATGATATTGACTTAGTTTAGCGAATGAAGAAACATTGGTTGCGTAGGTTAGGTAATGTCAAAATGGATGAATGCACTCCACTCTTATGGAAGGATCAGATGGCCCTGGTTGCAATTGGTATTTCCAACTGATGCTATAATATGACTATAATTGATTTGGCTATAATCGAGGGTAAACGGTGCCAACGAAAATAAAATAGAAGCATAATTAAGTAAATGGTCATATTTTGAGAGCCCAATTATGTGTTTCACTCTCTCAATCGTTATTCGCACTTCAAATACATGCCGAAACACATAATTCGCCATATAAATATTCGTGAGCGAATTACAGTAAAAGTGAGTTATTCATTCTCAATTGCCATGCCAATTACGACCAAATCGATGCATTACCTATATCTTATCGAAATTTTATCGAAACCAGCTGATAAATCAAAAGAAAAGAGAGGAGAATCATAATAGAAGAGACTAACACACAATGATTGAATTAAAAACCGTGTGAATGAGGGTAATTCGTATTCGTAATTAAGAGAGCGAAACACGTAATTCGGCTGTCATGGAAATGGCGTATATTTCATGCAATTATATAGAAATAAGTATTAGCAAGGAAGTGCGCATTCATATTGTTCGGATTTTGCTAAATCAACCTCGATGATTTTCTGAATCCTCCGGGTACGATCTCTGGATTGTTAAATAAAACTCGTCAGCTTAATTTGTAGTTTATTTCGTTGCAAAGAATTTATCTGATGTCCTTTATTTACTCAGTAATTCACAATTCTATTACAATGCACTTTACTATTTACAATCACTTGCATAAACTTTCACAATTTACTTTACTTAAATGTAATCCCCAACGCTTTTACTTTACGACTTTGCTGATTTTAACACCAAAGAGTTCCCTTTGTAACTGACTACTTGGCAGCTGAGTGTCGCCCTTAAATAGCAGTCGGCTGTTCGTAGACGAAAGTGTAGAATAGTCGAGTTGTTCGCTATCGAAGGTTCTAGAATGTACATTCTAGAAACGATAAAACAAGAACCTTCGATAGCGAACAACTCGATGCTTCTACGCTTTCGTCTGCGAGCAGCCGACAGCTATATAAGGGGACACTCAGCTGCCAAGTCAAGTTAGTGACAAAGTGAACTGGTTGGCGTTAACATCAGTAAAGTCGTAAGGTAAACGCGTTGGAGATATAAGTAAAGTAAATTGTAAAAGTTGATGCTAGTGATTGTAAATAGTAAAGTGCATTATAATTGAATTGTTAATTGCTGAGAAAATAAAGGAAATTGGATTAATTCTTTATAACGAAAGAAACTGCAAACTAAGTTGGCGAGTTTTTATTTAACAATCCAGAGATCGTACCCGAAGGATTCAGAAAATCATCGAGGTTGATTTAGTAAAATCGTAACAATATGTACGCCCTTAATATATAGGCCAATCCAGTTACAAAATAAGGAATAATAAATAATGAAGGCAAATTCAGTTCTGCCATCTACACGACACGGACGTTTCGTTGTAGTTCGGGGGCAATAATTGTAGCAATTAGTTTCAATTATTTTAATGTCGGAACCCATATGTATTGAGATCCCCCGACATTTAGGGCAGGAGCTCAAGGATCTGTTGGGATCAACTATGTAAATACCCTCTTCGAGAGGCTTCACCTTTTTGAACCATTTATTCCGTCGCGCTATCTCGGGTAGATACTTACGAATATATCAGTTAACACTAAAATTTCAGTGACTCTGGGGGCCACAAATTGATCCATGACAAAACCTTGCGGAAATCGGTCCAGAAAGTTTGACTTTTAGTGGCAAGCCTAGCACTTCTGACAGCAGCCTGCAGCTCCAGTCCAGAATAGAAAGCATCTTTATAGGTGCCACCATCACCTGGGCGCCTTTCAAATGACTACGACATTGGCCAAAGTATGGCGAAGATAACATGTAGCATGTAAAGGAATCTTCCACGCAAACACCAAAATCTCAAAATCTTTTCAAATAACAATTTTATGAGGATTGTTGTTGTTGTTGTTGTAGCCTCAAGAACATTCCCCAAAGTATTTTTGGGGATTATTGCGTGAGTGACAGCCCTTGTTTGGATAAAAATCCGGGTCGTCCCGGTGTAAAAGCCCGACAGTCGCGGGAAATTTTGGGTTTTAGTCGACTCTTACGACTGGCATGCCTTATCGCGGGTAAAATCTTGAACCCCTAACCCGCAGGGGCTCAATGCGCTTAACACCACCTGATAGTTTGACCGCCAATTGCTGATGTGAAAGCCACTCATACTGTGTGTGAATGTAGCTGACGTCAGCATCTCCTATCGTGTCTACTCCGGAGACACTTTCTGTTGAACTCTTTCGAGTTTAGGTTCTTAATGTATTGAGCACTACTGGGTGAGTAGGTAGCCCCGAAAGTCGTGATGATCATTACAAATACTGACGGTTTGCTATCGCCCGGCTTGAGTCACACAAAGCTGCCGAATTCTCCTCAGTATGGACACAAGACACGTTAACTGATTAGGTCTCTTTATGAGTAAATGCCCCGAAAGGCTGCTAACAATACCGGCAATTTGCAAACCAATCCTTGTTCCAACTCGTGGTTGTTAAGATGAGAACATGTTTGAAACTTTCATTGGTGCACTGATATTTTGCACTTCCAGAATAGACGAGTACATCACGACGGGTTTCTTTCACTGATGATATTTCTCGAACTATTAATAGAAGCACAGCGATGGTAAGTTTAGGGCGTCCAAACCTCACGCGCAGTGTGTCTAGCACTTGTAGTATGTAAGACCCATGTAAGAGCAAATTTTTTACAGCGTTTCATGCTGAGGCATCCAGTGCCTGACCTAAGCGAAAAAATTTCCACTATTCAGGGTTTCCGTTGAATTTGGGCAATCCTTTAAAAATACCATTTCATGCAGTAATTTAATTTTTTGTAAGGCTGCGCTGAACGAGTGGGTGTGGCAACTGCTGGTTTTACAATAGGGGTTGAGTTGGCTACGAATTTGGGCAACAATTTTGGTAGTTAAGTGTT